CACACACACACACACACACACACACACACACACACACACACACACATACACATACATACATACACACACACATACATACATACATACATAAAACATGGTTATTGAATGTTTGTGATAATGAAAGAAAAAGTATAATAAAAGTGGACAAATATTTTAGCCCAAGTGTCAAAACTTTCTTGGAGCTACATGCCATAGAAAGATGTGACACTCTAAGAAACTGGATATCATCAATGCTGAAAGGGGCCTCCCACACAGTCTCTCAGATCCAATCATCATCATCATCATCATCATCATCATCATCATCATCATCATCATCATCATCATCTTATTTTGGTAGTAGTCTTTCTCCTGAATGAGTTCAGAGTGGTGACTCTTAAAATATGGAACATATATGTCCATACACTCACACAAACACATTTTCAGACATAATATACATATTACTCACACACACACCCTCATACATAGATCCTCTTTCTCATATTGCAATTAGGCATAGAAAAAAAATCTAATTGAAGCAGGGAGACAATTTTCAAGGAAGATAACAGTGCAGGTGAAAAGAAGGTTAGCACTTCTCAATGGCAAATCCTTCCTGTTCATAATCTTCCCCTAAGGAATCACGTCAGTAGAAGGGATCAATTAGACCAATGAAAGAAAACTGCTGGTCTGTGCCCTGATCCAGATTAAAACATAACTGACAGATGGCTATCTAGACCCTGCTTGTACACATCCAGCAAGAGGAGCCCACCATTTCCCATGACAGTTATTTCCACTTTCAAATTCCTCTTATTGTTATGAATTTTTTTCTAACCTTCAATTGCAATTTGTCTCCATATCACTTAAATACATTATTCCACATTCTGCACTCCGGGATAATAAAAAACACGTCTAGCCTCTTTCTTCTGAGGATTAGACAGTTCCAATTCCTTCAATCTCTCTTCTTTGAACTTAGTTTGAGTTCCCTGATCATACCTGTAATACCTCTAATCCATACATTTTTGTTTCTTTATAGATGTCATTTATTCACAATAGAAAAGCACTGCTTTTGAAGGACATCGTTGTAATGACAGGACCTGTCCTAGCAGACTACACAGATCCTATGGGAGGGAAAGAAACAGGAATGTGTCCTACACACACAAATCCTGCCCATTATGATGACCAGCACATTCGTGGTGGACATACTTGGGCAACATATTGGAGGGAATCAAGGCTTCCCATTCAGTATTAATTTTGAAGTTTTATAAGGAGTTTAAAATCAGATCAGAGATCTTCTTTCAAAGATTATAAAATAAAAAAGATCTTGCTGCAAAACTACGACCAGCTGCTTCCTTCAGAAGTATTTTCTATTCCTTCTTACCAACAGCAGGGTTGTAACATTGGAGGGTCAGTGTATTATATTTGATAGCACAAGAACCGATGAGGTACAACTTCCCAAGACATCCAGCTACAGCAAAATTACTGACGTACTTCAAGGCAGGACTGACAAAGCACCAGCTGTCATTGTAAGGATCATAACATTCTACCTCCACAATGTCCATAGTGGTGCCTATGACATACATAAAAAGGGAGGAAAGTTTGTAGCATAAGTTTGCACCAATACAGGCAAAGAGCAAGATACATGCCTCAGAATCTCACAGGTCTGTTTGGTCATATGAACTTGGCTTACTTATTTCAAAAAGGAGTTTCTATGTATTTTTCAGCCTCACAATAGAGATTGGTTCTTCTGTCCATATTACATGCAGCCAATGACTAATAAAAAATTATACATCTGCTGTATATATGAGATCTAAAATGGTCTAAGGGCACATCATGATGTAACAACATATGATGATGTTCATATTACTCAAGATTCATCCATGTTATTGCCTGGATACATGTTGGAGCCCCAAACATTTTTCTCCACATTTTCTAGAAAAATAAGCCTGAATTGTGGCTGCCTTCTGTCACTTTTTCAGCTCTGATAGCTGCTCTGTCAGAACTTCTTCCTCATCCTTGTCCTCATCCTCATCTCTTGTAGAAAAACAAGTCTAGGTCTACAACATATAACCACTATATAATGGAAGGGACCTCATAAATTGTTAGTCTTTTCTAATTTAGCATCTAACAGAATGCTGCTCTGCCTTTCCTTCACAATCCACCACACCTGCAGCTTCTTCCAAGTTGAAAAAAAAATTATTCCTGGAAGTTCAACTGTTACATTTTTGTGCAGGTTGGCTAATAGTTCTATTTCCTTCTCTCAGACCTCTGCTGTAAAGTAGCTTTCCCCAACCAGCTGTCCTCCAGAGAAGTGTAAGTACAATTCCCTTCATCCTAGCCATCAGTTAGGCTGGAAGGCACCTGGTTATAGAAGGCTCCTGTACAATGAGGCTTTCTATTCTTTCATTACATATCTCATTTCCTACCACCAATGGCATAGATCTCTCCATTGAGAACAGCACTGGCATGGTTTGTTCGGGGCTTCAGCATTGGAGCAATGGACTTCCAGACACCCTTCTTAAGGCAGAAGCACCAGGACTGAGTTGTAGACCATGTGTCATTCTGTGATCCCCTAGAGCCACCTGAAAGCAGAAATAATTGTCATACTCATTGTGAAAATAATCTTTTATTATTTTTAGTTTGAAATTTGTTCACTCCTTTTGGTTCTGAATCTTCTGCGAACCTTCTACAATTTGCAGAATTTGTAGGCAAAATACATCTGATAAAATGGTGGAATATTATTAAATTTGCCTTTTATCACCTGACTATGAGATCTGTGTGCTATATCATAATTCATTTTCTCTGTTATGGGTCAGGCAAACAGAACAAATCCATCCAAACTTATCAGGAAACACATAAAATGTTCTACAGGTACGGTAACATCATAAAGTGAGAAAGTATACTATCCTTACCTGTAATGTAAATGTTGTTGTTTAGAGCAATCATAGAAAAGCCCCATTTATTGTAATCTGGAAAATCAGGCAAGGCAATCCATATTTCTGAAATGGAAAAACCAAATATGTAAATAGCTAGTTAAATTCTTAAATTTTCCTGAGAGTTTTGCCTTGCATGATAATGATGGTTCTGCACAGAACTTTCAATTTTTAGGATAGGAACAGTAATAAATATGTTTAGCCAAAATTCCAGCATCTTCTGGTTTTCCATCCCTATCTCTACTTTCTCTTTGCATTATTGAGCAGGAGACATGTCCTATATACATCCAACTTTCCATCTTGGATTATGTATTTAATTAGTAACAAAGTTCTAGAGGTTAAGGTTCTCCTAACATTGAACCCAATGTTTTTTCTTTCCCATAACCTGACTTTAATTCCTAGCCAAGTAGTTGACTTTTTATAATGAGTATGCTATTAAACTTCACAAACAAATGGTTGTTTACACAGTTGCAATTATGTACTTTGAGCCTTCAAGTATGCTGGCCTATTGTGAGGTACTATAGGCCTGGTTGTTCTCTCAGGCACTTGGGCTGGGTGTTTGGTGAACTCTGTTGGTTGGTTTGTCTGTTGTGGTTTGTTCATTATTGAACATAAATGGGAAGGATGTATTTGGACCTCTGACACATGCTATATTGACTGCTGTTGTGATTTATTTTTTAATTAATTTGAGTTCTTTTGCTGTTTTTCAGTTTTCGTTGTTAATTGCCCATAGACTGCAATAGTGAAATGGGAGGCCTTATCCATTGTTTAAATAAATGATTAAATGAAATATCATAGGCAAATATTGAAAAGTCTGTATCACCAAGGAGCTTAGGATCTGTAATAGAAAATGAGTAAAGCAACACAAGGAAAAGGGAGTGTAATGGGCAGAAGGGCCAACAGAGCGGAAGACAGCAGCAGTTTTCCCATGAACTTAAAACTTAGCTACAAATGGCACTTCAGCAGCAATTTAAGAGTAAAACCAAAGACAACATCAGAAAAAATTGGTTTTCATGATGAATTTGAGGACAGAATGATGCCACCCTGCACATGTTCAAACAGAAAACCCCTATATATGGGAAAGTTAAAGAGAACGTGTTGTCATAAAGAGTAACAGATCTTTAGGTGGTCAGTATTTAGGTGGTCAATTAACAGAGGGAATGAGCAGGATTATAATGAGAAACAAAGGATAAAAGATAAAGTGAGGCAAGGCTATATAATTTTTAAGGTAAGGATAAAGATTTTCTACTGGATATAGAAGAATGTGAAGTCTTAAAATATCTGATTTTGACTATTGTTTTGGATAAAAGTCAGAAAACTTGCCTATGAAAAAGAGAAAGCTCAAAGAGGAATAATAGCTTGAACAAGTCAAAGCAAGGGATTATTGGGAATGAATCATAGGCTGAGCCAAGGAGAAAGCAAAGAATGGGTCCCATTAGGTAAGGTTGTACATGAAGAAGCTACATAAATTGGCAGTGAATTGAACATGGAGCAGAACAGAGAGAGCTAAAAATACATCTATGATCTCTGGATCTGCAGCGGCGTTGTCAATGATGTTGAGAAGAATGAGGAAAGGAACCTTGGAAGGAAAACTATATGATTTAGTCTTAGCTTATGAACTATCTAATTGAATATGTTTCCTAGAGATGTGTATACTCCTCTGAACTCTTTTGAATAATAATAATAATAATAATAATAATAATAATAATAATAATATAGAGATACTATAATGGTAGACGTCTGAAATAAAAAGAAAGATACTGTTAGATATCATCAGCATAAAGGTGGCACTTGATGAGGTCATTCAGTAAAAAAGTAGAGAGAGAGAGAGTAATAGTTCCTGAAGAATTAGAATAGGGCCATTCTCTAGCTACTTTCTTTCTACTGCTTCTTTCTGCCCCAGTCAGCATGGCCAATAATCAGGAACAGTACACAGTGTAAGCATCACCATCTGACAATCACACCGCAGTATCACATTCAATCAGTCTTTACTGACAACTGTGTAGATGGACTAAATGCTTGGCCCCTTTGCTGAAAGGACTAGCCAAACATTTCTCTAAAAAGAAAAAATTAGCATTAATTTATTGAAACTGTTACATATACTACCCAGATATGTTTGGCAGTAATTATGTATAGTCATTATTTGTTTCTATGTTCACAATATTGTCAACATGCCCTATAATTACATCATCTTTTCCAGATTACACCAAGGATCCAAAATTTAGAGTCCTAACCTCTAAATTAGTTCCTCTTCCAACTTCAGTGAATTTGTAGGCCAGCCTGACAGGTTTCACTGTCAGTGAGCCTGGGAGGAATGTAGTTGCTTCACAATAACAAACAGCTAAAGAAACCCAGAACATTACATCATCTGGAATTCTAATTTGCCTGTGGCAACATAATTCTACATTAAACTCAAAGGCATGAATGTTCCTGCCCACACTAGTATATCTTTTATTCAAAGTGGGTCTGGAGAAGTGTTCTTTAATATGGCAGGTTGCTTGGTATATGTATTTTCCCCCTTTCATTTACTGAATGAGGCACCAGATAAAGAAGCCTCATAATTGAGCACTCAACACATATAAAACAAATATGACCCAGCTTTGTAGATACTGAGAGGTTTTGCTGTTAATTCCAATGAAATTCCACAAAAGAAAAGAAAGCAAAGAACTAGGAAGAGAAAAGCATGTGGAATGCATTCAGTAGAGCTATAACCAGCTCCCAATAAACTTTTTGAATGTTCCCATCTCCCACTTCTTCCCTGGAAAGATATTCTAGCTGTAGCAATAGCATGATGATGCCAAAATACCAAAATGTATGTCATGTCTTTTCAGATTTGTGTCACAATATTTTATCACTTGAACATCCCCCATTCCCTGCAGAAGCTTATGATTTTAGCCTTTTTTACTTTCAGAGATACAAGAAAAATAGTAGAGTCAATATTACACCCAGTTCTGACCACTGAATACTAATATATTTGGATAAGTTACACATTAGACCAGGTTTACTAACTTGGTGCTTGCAAGCTATCATGATCTGTAATTCCCAGATCTTTATCATTTGGAAGTTGTTGAGTTGGGCAATCCTTCTCTGGAATCTCCCATTTAAAGATAATATTTTCATCCAATTGTATTACACTCTTGTTTGCAAATATTCCCTGATCCATTAGCCTCTCCCCCCACTGCAATGTTTTTGACAACAGATTATAAGAAAGAAGGCTCCGGCTAGATATCAGGAGGAACTTCTTGATTGTACAAGTGTAAGTCAGTGAACAGGTCGCCAGAAAAAGTGGTGAGTTATTCTTAGCTGGAGACCTTCAAAGAGAGGCTGGATGGTCATCCACTAGGCATGCTTTAATGCAGCATTTCTCACCCTTGGCACCTTTAAGCTGTGTGGACTTCAACTCCCAGAATTCCCCAGCCAGCATACTGGCTGGGCAAGCTGGCTCCGGTATTCTGGGAGTTGAAGTCCACACAGCTTAAAGTAGCCAAGGTTGAGAAACACTGCTCTAAGCTTTTCATAAAACCAGCTTTGTTAAACATACACTTTAAATACAGTTTCAGCATTTCCACCAGTGCCACCTTCGAAATATAGTGAAGACACATCTTTTACCTTACTTCCAAGTTTCATGAGAAAAACTAAATTTCAGTTCATAAATAACTGTGCATTTGCAGTGAGCATCTCAAAGTATTGCCTAAATTTCTATTAATGAAGAGAACAAAGTGTTTAAGGTTGTCTTGTATCAACAGAATTGCATTAGAAACAAAGGTGAAATTGACCACCACTAACAAAGAACATAAATGGAGAATATAAGCTCATGCCTACAATTATATGTAACTGTCAGTTATGTTTAAGTATTAAGTCTTTCACAGTGTAAGTTCTTAAATACCAATCACTCTTCCTTAATTTTTAATATTTGAAAAATACAAAACAGTGGAAACAACAGTTAGGAAGAGAAGATAAAGACATGCCTTTAAAACTATTTGCCTGGCATATTCTTTGCCAGTTCATTACCCGTGAAAAACAGTCTGTGTAAAACTTAAGGACTGAATTTGAACTTTGCTCCCCAGGGTGGATGCCTCCGTTTGACCAGTAGGGGTCCCTCCTTGGCCAGTTTTGAACTAAATTTTGCTGCACTTGAAACTTTCCTGGAGAAATACTGTGATCAGCCCGTCCGCCCCCCCCCCCTTTTCCTAAAAAAACAGAGGGGGGGGGGGGGGGGGGGGGGAGTCGAAGAAGTGTGCAGGTCTTCTCTGTGCATCTTCCCCTAGTGCCCCCCGCCCCACGGCAAGCCTACCTTCAGGCTGCAGCGGGGTTTGTCTTCCTTCCCCCACCCCGTCTGCCTCTTTCCCCTCGTTAGATACGAAAAGTAGCTCGAATCAGCTTGCCGAGGGACGCCCGAAATAACTTTCTGCTTGCCTCCCCTTCATCTTCAGGGAAATGCCCGGGAGGGCGGCGCGATTGTTGCACGGCGGGCAAAAAGGTGTATGCGGGGCAGGGGCGGGAGGAGAGAACCGGGTGCTTGACTGAGGAAGTTGCATAATGAAAGGCTCTTGTTTGTTAATCGAGTCC